ACTGACTGTCCTCTGATGTTCTAAATGAACACTGGTGCTTTTAAGTTTCTAAGAAGAATTCTAGGAGGAAAAAAAAAGGAGTGACCTGTACTTAATCCACTGTTTCTGGGACTTAATTGCTTCAGAATCCTGCTTCCTCCTGGTGCCCGTCTGCAGCCCAGGAAACTTAAATTTTTTTAACGTACGAATTGGAAAATGGATTCTTTCGTACTTATTGGGAAGTGCTGGTGTCGGAGGAAGAGAGTGATTAAAATATAAGCAGAAATGAATGACTGAGAAATAGAAAAGCAGAGGGAGGGTAGAGCTCAAGTGGTAGAGCGCATGCTTAGCATGCACAAGGTCCTGGGTTCAACCCCCAGTACTTCCTCTAAAAATAAATAAATGAACCCAGTTACTTCCCCACCCCCCAAAAAAGGTTAAAAAAAAAGCCAGAAAAACAGTGTATGTTCAATCAATAGCTGATTCTTAAAAAATAAATAAATGCAGCGATCTCTGACCAATCTCATCAATTAAAAAGGGGGAAATAGATTAAATTAAGAAGCCAAATAAGGACATTACAATTACAGACAAGGTCTTCAAAGCCTAAGAGAATACTATGCATAATTTTATGCTAGTAAATCGGAAACTCTCCATGAAATGGACAATTTTCTTTTAAAGTCCCGAAAAGGATTAAAGTAGAGGTAGCTAATCTGGGATAGAAACGTCATTTATCATTTCTGTTACCCAATACCAGAAATTCCAGCCAATTAAACTTCATGAGAAAATAAATTGGTAGGTGGTGTCCTCGGCAACGAGACAGACCTTCTTCTCTGCCCAGGAGATGTGGCTCTTACCAGAAGCCCAGAAGCACCAGCAGGAAGCTACTGGAATCGTGGATAATTGAGAATTACAGCGTCTAAGTAGAAAAAGAAGGCAAAACTCAGTAAAAATCAGAGAATGGAAGGTAAGTGTGATGCCATTAAACCAAGGAACAGCAACATAAGGCACAAGACCCGAGTAAAGGGGAACCCAAAACGCGATCGTGGGGCAGGG